TACCTTGTTTTTAGCGAGTTTCCGATCACGATCATGTTACCGAGTGATCATGGCGCTTGCAATAGTGCAATATCGTAAACTCGTTAAAAACAAGGTATATGGTAACAATCCCGTAAATAACATAAAACCAATCGTGTGGTGTCCCAAAAATAACAGATGACAAAACGATAATCACATTTTCTGATGAACTCAGTGGACGAAGATGTACTTTAAGACAAGTTAAAGAGTGTCTTTTTATTGTGCGATTAAAAGGAAGGTAAATTATTGTAGAAGAAAACTTAACTGGTAGGATCGAATAAAGTATGGCCTTAATAAAATTGGGCGAGCGCAAATTAAGTACCGCTGCAGTGGGTCAAGTGCAGGCGGCGATCGGTAGGCGGCGCACGCGGCCACTTCCGTTACACTGCTCTGATATAACTATGACAGTTTTGCCCATAGAGACCTGAAGTGGGCCGGCGCAGTGGGCCATAGCGTGGCTAATGTGCGCCGTTTATGGTGCTACGGAGTAGGTGACACATATTTGTTATTGTAATTAACTTTATTGGTTCGCGATTGGTACACGATGGAAGAACTTGAAGATAAGTGAAACACGCTAACTTATAAATAAATATTTCCAATACTCACACCAATGAGCCTAGCCCCATATTAAGCACTTTAAGGCTTGTGTTGTGGGATACTAGGGTAATGGATAGAATACATGTACTGTACATATATAAGTATATTTATATAGAAATACATGTTAAACATCCATGACTGGAGTACAAATGCTCGTATTCATCACACAAACATCTGCTCCCATCGGGATTCGAACCCGGGAGCTCTCGAGTCGGCAACACAATGAAACCCGGCATACAAACCACTCGGACACTGAGGTCGTCAAATATAATGTAGGTAATTCATATTTATTTCAATTCCAGTGAAACGCACCATTTACTCTTACAATTTTTTTTGTAAGGTTTAGATAAAATTTGATTTCCCATGTTGGATGCTCTATGTTAAAGGATATAGTTTCTGTAGTTAGTAGTAATCTGTGATTTAGTCCTTAAGTGGACCGTTGTAGGTGAACCATGGCGGCCTATTAAGTACTCTAATCAGCCCACCTCCCTTTAGAAGCCGATCAATCTTCCCTATCTTCTCAGGACATCCGCGAGCGATCACGGTTTACCAGAATCTCGTAGCAGATCTGGGTGACGTCTGAGCACTCGAAGAGCACATGTGTCAGCGCGGCCTATGCTCCACTCCATAATACCTAGGGTGTGAAAGTGTTTCTTCAGTGAGCAGTGTTTGGTGATGGTTCCCGCCATCAGACTCTGGCTATTCCTGTCCAGGTGCACAAGGCACTTGCGTCAGCTTTGTGTCCAGGAAGGGCATACATGGATGGCCTACACCTTCTTGGACTGCCGACACCCACCAGGACCTTAACACCAGTTAAGGTCCTTCATTCCATCGCTTCCGTTTGCGTGTAGGTACTTTATATAAAAAATTGGCGAAAAGCCAAGATGAAAGATTATAGACAATGATGGAGATTGGATACCTTATTAAAATAAATTATTTATCACCGAGTCACTGTTCGTTATATATTATCTTCCTTCATTTTCCGTTATTTCAAGTTTAAGATATGTAATTTTTGGCCTGGAACATTATTAGTTTTTTTTTACTTTATTTTAGGAGATGTTCTTACTTATTTTTTGGTTTTAAAATACTTTATCTTTTTCTAACATTATCATTCCTACACTCTTTAAAAATTTAAATATCTTATATATAGTAGGGGAGCCCACGATGCCAAATAGGCGCTTTTATCTGACGCGCTGGAGTTTCTCCAAGGATAATTTTTTTCTTGCTAATCTGATCTGCATCTTATCTCTTCTTCGACACTTCATAAAGGGCTAAGGTATGGTGGGACTTCTTCACAACATTCAAGGTTGCTACTCTTATGTTAATCTGCGCGCTCGAGTAAATCTAAAAATCCCCGCATGGGTTCTCCTACTATTATGTATAATAATGAATTAATTTATATTGGGATTATTGAACTTATATCAAATCAGGGGTAGCTACAGTAGGCTGGCATTAATCGGCACAGGGCATTAAAATCTTTATATAGATAATTCTTCAAGTTCAGTGACAATTCATGTCACTGAACTTCTCTTAAACGACTGGACCGATTTTGATGAAATTTTTTGTGTGTGTTCAAGGGGATCTGAGAATGGTTTAGATTCACAAAGACGTGTAGACAGGACAACGTCTGTCGGGTCCGCTAGTATATGTAGATGAACGTCGGCCGTAATTACTACGGGTCGGTTTTGTTGTTTGATTTATGTGTATAGCTACCCTCAGTTTCCGAAATCTATACCACACAATGTAATACAACTAAAATTTATTATAATAATAGTTATTAATCAAAGCAATTAAAATAAAATTTTATTGAATATCAATAAACAAAACTTTAGGACTCCTTATGACGTTTTTAATTGCATATTGCAAATGCACTAACACAAAATCAGTAGAAGACCTCAAGACACCATAAAAATATTTTATTCATTTTTTATTGTTAATATAGAAACGATATGAAGTCACTTATGCACGCAAACCACACTTGCCGTATAATTAGTAACGGTAACACCAAAATTGCTTATTGATAACGTCTATAAACGTATCTCTACATCGAATGTGAAACAATTTCGGGACCTTGGACAAGGCATAAATATTCAGAGACGCACCGAATTACACAAAAGTCCGTCAATGCTTTGATTCATGATGTGTTTGTTACCAACCGTTAGCTGATAGCAATATTCTGATGGCATTTAATGAATTACGCAGTCGGACTGTCGGACTCCCTGGGGCCTTGTTCAGACGACACGCGCACGCCATGCACGTCAACAATCAGCACCCGTGGCGTTTTATGCTGTGGTTTTATGATAGGTAAATAAATCTCAAATTCAATTTATCGTACACTTCACGAACACGCCACGCACATGACACGAACACGCCACGTGCACGCTACACACGCACCACACACGCCACGAATACTTCTTGCCTCGCGCTTCGGTGACAGAGAGGGGAACATTTAGAAGAAAAGAAAAAAACATTTGTATCTTAAGCGTGGTCGGCGGTAATTATGTAGTGTGCATGTATATATTCTGGCATTGATGTGTGGTAACCATAGAGTTCACATTTCTAATTATTTATTTTATGTTAAAGGGTGGCCAACAAGCTTAATTCCCACCTGTTGGTAAGCAACATGCAGGACCGCAGGGTGAGGATGGCTGGTGTGGCAGGCAGAACTGCTGTATCAGCTATCTTCGCGTCTGGACATCACTGTCACTTAACATCAGGGGGGGGGGACAATCATTTGGCGACCACCATAGCCTGTAGCCTGTAGTCCCCCCCGATCCTGAGAGACCTTCAGTCGCTCAGCCCCGAACCGATACGGATGCACATCAGAGTGCATCCGTCCTCTAAGTGCACTATGCAGTAGTATTTACTAGGGCAGCTCTGCATCATCCCCTTCTCAGGGGTTGATCGCATCAGATGAAGCCTGTAAGGTCCCTAAGGCCATAGGCATCCCCCAGGGTGTTTTAGTCAGTAAGAGTCTGACATAACCCTACAGCCGGCTGTAGGGTATCCATGAGGATTTCACACCCGCTCTTTTTGCCTGGGAGGAAACAAAAAAAAAGCCTGTAGTCGCTAAAGCTGTCACTCGTGCCATTGCCTACCCTGACCCAATCCCTAACCTCGTAGAGCCCTAGAACCTTACTCACCGACAGAAAAACAATACCACCAAAAGGCAGTGTTACTTTAATATTATCTTCTGTAAGGTGGAGGTTGTTTCCCCAAATAGGAACTCCAATTCAAGCGGAAGATCTGCTATGTACTACCTCTCTTAAATTATATTAATTTCTTTAAAGGCAACATTGAATAACGGTGTCTCATAAACCTTTTAAGTTTTTCTATAATTCGCAATTTCGACTGTCACTCCTTTAAATTATTAGTCTATTGGAGAAATTATCCAGGCTTGGATTACTTAAGATAGCTTTTATATTATTAACTTGAAAATTTAATAAAAAAAAGTGTGGCACTCGGGGACTGCCGCGGTAAAGCTATTGCATAACATTATTTATCAACTTCTGCAATTATAATTATGTATTTATTTTATTCATGCAGTATTTTTTTTCTTTGATAATAGTAGATCGCGAGGCAAGCCTTATGATATTTTATTGGGCAAGCACAGCAAACAACAGCATTGCCCGGCGCCAAAAAACTTCCACAAGCTCCACAGTTTACCATCTTTAGTCAAAAAATTTAAATTATAATTATAAAGTCTAAATAAAAGGGAGACAAATGAAAATAAGAACAGGTGGTGGGGTCTTAAACAAATATATAAAAAAAGTAAATAAATATAATAAAAATTAAAAAAAATGGGTGCGTGTACTTATGTAGGCGCGTGAGAAGTTATCCTTCTTTGGCATCGTTTAAAATTAGTTTTTAATTGCATGCAAATAATTAATTACAATAAATTAATAAAAAGTCTGGTAAAGGACACAGTCAATAAAGTTCAGTTTTAATTTGAAAAAATAAATAAATAATCAAAATATTCAATTAAAATCGCTACTGAATATAATTTATTAGAACATATGTGATTTGCACTTGTATGAAACTCAAACACGTATTCCGAATATACAAACTAGAAACATGTCGATAAATATTATAAATATGAATACCTATAACTGTTACTTTATTACAAAAAATAAAGATGTGGTTTTTGGTTCTACTACACCAATGGTCAAGAGATGGCGCTGCAGTCTCCTGAATCCATCTTTGGTTCCGTTGTTCCAGATTAATAAATACTTTTGATAGGCCTTCACAATGCAGTCGTTAGCACCCACAAAATAGAGATTCTATTTCTATTTTGTTGGTAGATTTTCTTAATGTGCGGTAAACACAAAAGGTCGCTAAAGCGACCAACTTCATGCTGTTAATTTTTTGTGTTACAGTGATGCGCGCGCATCTTAAAATTTCACTCTCATCATTTTTTCATAACGCGCCTAAAGAAGTATAACTTCAAAAAACGAGTTCGGGATTTGAACCGACGACCGCGGTGATGCGTTGAATCTATGCAATAGCATAAACAAACCATTGCTGCCATTTCTTCCTAGAACATAAGCATTGATTAAATTGATTTATAGAACTGAGTGTAGTGTATTGAACATACACTACAATGTTAGACGTTAAACTATGATTGTGACATCTATTAAGGGAAATTAGGTTGGTATTAAGTTGTAAGGAGATAGTAATTTGGCGTAACGATGACAATTATCGGAGTTACATCATATGATATTCAGTGTCTGACATTAACGAAATTAGATAAGTATAAAACAGGTTAAGTGGTACCAAAGGTTCTGCACACATATACGCATGTAAATAGTTCGTTTTTCCCGGTAAGTTTACCAACTGCAAGTATATCTTTTTTATGTAACTAATAATCGCCTCTTATTAATTTTAATAAAACTTGCTCATAGTTGTCAAGCAACGCAATGTATGTTTTAATTTTCATTATTTGAAACTAAAAGACACTGTTGGTCACAGCTCTTCGTGCATGCTAGCTAAAGAATATCAGATCTGATATCTGAATTCTGATAGAAGAATATCATGGCGAACACAGGCCCTAACACGAATTTTGAGAATTCCGTAATCTTATAACGTCAATCAAACAAACCGTCAATGTCAAATTTTGTATGGAAAAAGCTAGTTTATTCTTACGGCGATGCGATACGATTATAGGATTGTCAAAATTCGTTCTTAGGTCTCAGGTGCCCACGGAGGAAAAACAAAGCAGGTGCCCATTACCTTATTCACACCACAGCAATTCACTATAACATTATTTCTACACTCGAGTCAGAACGATTTATCATATCAGCTTAGACGCCCAGTGCTGGACATGGGGCCAAGAAATTCCAACCCGATCGGAACTGAGCTGCCTGCCATTCAGAATGATTTTATTATAAACTATATAAAAATAAGTCGGGTTTTCCTTCCTGACGCTATAACTCCAGAACGCACGAACCGATTTCCACGGTTTTGCATTCGTTGGAAAGGTCTCGGGCTCCGTGAGGTTTATAGCAAAGAAAATTCAGGAAAAATTAAAAAAAAACTTCTTTTAGTCACCAAACGAAATGTTACATAAAACGAAGCCATCTGGTGGCGAAACGGAGATCGCCGGGTTTGCTAGTTTTATTATAAATATTTATTTTTAATTTAGGAGGGGTATTTTTTGGGATTTGATTTTTTTTCTTAAAAACCTATCGTGGTATCAAATGAAAGAGCTTATTGAGCCGGTCCAAAATTATACTTCACCATTACCGCCACCTGTTTTGAACTTCTGATTCTCAAACTTTTAATGAGAAAAAAAATACAGTATGTGTTATTAATATAATGTAGTAAAGTTTATTATTTGTTCAAGAATACCTTAACATTTTTATTTAAATAAACACACAAAACCTATAGAATGTGTATGTTGTTTGTAAACAAAACAAGAAAAAATTACCATTCCTATGTTGTAACTACAAAATAATAAGAACAAATAATAACAAACTTAAACATATAATAACAAACGACGAGTGAAAATTTTCGAGCAAAAATCACTTATAAATTAAAATAAGAAATCATTAAACATTTTAATCCTGCTTTTCCGAATGATTGTAATATAAATATTTATTTTTATGACATCCATCATCACAGGTCATAGGGTTTTGGGCTGGGTAGATTTACAGTTGGTGTATTTATCTTATTCAATGAAGTAGTTGACACCATATAGCGTCATTTTTTGGCGCTCTATAAGGTATCAGGTAAAAACATAGATTTGAAATAAGTAAAAAAACTGTGACATTAGAAAACCCAATCTCTTCATTTTTTGTTGGGCGCAGCTAGCTAAAGGTCATATAAATCATTTACATAATTACCTATTTTTTTATGAACTAAGGCGCGGCCACTGAAGAAATTGGTATCAAATGTCACATTTTACATCAACTTCTAATCAATGTGGTTATGTGTCCGATTACAAGCCAAGCTAGGTATGTTGTCAAAATTGTGTTTTAACAGTGTAGTCTACTCCACTACGTCAGCATGCAGTATGTTTGTATAGTCCTCTACGCACTATCCATCTTGCTGTATCCAGCATGCGGGCATAAATTTAATGCATATTATAGTTGATATGTATGCAAAATTCAATCTTAAATTTTGGCTCTATTGACTACTTATTATCCTACCGTCCTATATTTAGGATAGCTATTTTCCTGAAAGTCCCGTAATCAACATATTTATTCATAATTTTTACTTCTTTTTAATACATACCCAACTAGCAAAATAACTTAAATACAAAGATTCTCAGAAAAAAGCCAATATCAGGTTTATCTACGTGTATAAAGCTACTAGACCTCATAGGGAATAGGCATGATTATTTTTTATGTATTTATTACATTGTTTACATTCATAATAAAGTATAAATATTTTCAGTATCGAAAAGATAGTGTGATATGTCTAATAAACGTTAATAATGCCACTTTGCACCGGCATTTTGAACACTCGCTATTTTAGAACTCATCTTGTGACGTCACAATCTATCTTTGTTTGTTTTGGTGTTGACTATGACATATCCTGTGAACATGGCGCTTGTTTGTTGATTTGCTGTTATGTATTGCTACGTCACAACCGCTCTGTAGTGTTTCATATATTGTATTTCCCACAAGTTTTTCGTACATTTCAGTAATTAATTTTCTGCTTAAAGATAAATTTTATTAAAAAAAGGTGTGTGCATCTCGGGATGCACCACAGAAGTGATAACTTAAACAAATCTAACCGACGCTTTGGGATAGCGTGAGAGAGAAGGAGCCTGCCTACCGCTGTAGTACCTATGCGTGAGAGGTAGGGAAGTCAGACTAGCGCCGTAACTCGTTACATTACGAAGCGGTTTACCCTTCCATTAGCAGTTATCACTTAAAAAATATCGATGGAAGGACGATTAAAAAGTAATAGTTTATACAGTACAAATAATATGAGCCTTATCTGAATTCCATGCATATTTCCTATTGGATTAGATAAAAATCACTAATATATAAAAATATCGTGTCACGGTGTGCGTAATTGAACTACTTCGAAACAGCTCGACCGATTTTCGTGAAATTTTATATGCATATTTAGTAAGTCTGAGAATCGGACAACCTCTTTTTTTCATCCCCCTAAATGTTAAGGGTTAAATTAAATTATTGTTTTTTTGGGGACAATTTTTTTTATGATACATCATACAAAAATACATACAACCCTAAATTTTTAACCTTTTACCACCAACCCCTATTTTTTTATGGTGGTACGAAATTCGCTGGGACAGCTCGTATAATATAAAATAAGAATAAAGAAGGTACGAAAACCCTTAATTGAGTGCACGTTTAAACCCGTAAAATGTTATATTAATAAGCTAACCGTTCCAGAGTCTTTTATAAAGGTTTTAAAGCATGGGCGTAGATAAATTCCTTTAAATATTGGATATCAGTCGATTGCTAGTATACTTATTACTCAAGTATATAATAATAGTACTCGAATCGAATACTTAAACGCTACAAAAAGCGTGACCATCATCAATGCGTTCTTGCATTGTTTTGAACACATCAGTTAAAACTTAATTAATCGACTCCATTAATTACTCGGAAGAATGTGGCATGATCAGTTTCACTTTTCCATTGTTCTGTGATGTGCCTAATGGGACGCCTTTGGTAGTTTACTAATTGAATTGAAAGATATTTTTTGTAAAAATAGTAATAAAATATTTAATTACGTAGGTAAGTATAATTGACTTACATAAATGAACATTAAAATTATTTGCATAACTGAGCTGATTACTTATTTTTTTTAATTGGTGATATTCATGGTGTAATGACAATGACTTAAGTCCTGCATAGACTAGGACTGCCACTTAGTACACAGGTACTTTAGGTTCAAAAAAAATTTGAGCGGTAGTTCTTAAAAAATTAGGAGGGGTATCTTTTTTGATTTGATTTTTTTTCTTAAAAACCTATCGTGAAATCAAATGAAAGAGCTTATTGAGCCGGTCCAAAAATATACTATACCATAACCCCTCGGCCACCTGTTTTTAATTTCTGATTCTCAAACTTTTAATGAGAAAAAAAAAAGCAGTAAGTGTTATTAATATAATGTAGTAAACTTTATTATTTGTTCAACAATATCTTAACATTTATATTTAAAAAAAACACACACACAAAACCTGTAAAATGTGTATGATGTTTGTAAACAAAACAAGAAAAAGCTACCATTGCCATGTTGTACCTAGAAAATAATAAGAACATATAAGAGCTTAAACATATAATAACAAACGACGAGTGAAAATTTTCGAGCAAAAACCACTTATAAATTAAAATAAGAAACCATTAATCATTTTAATCCTGCTTTGTATCCATACTACTACACTAATACTATAAATGCAAAATAAACTTCCTATCAGTCTGTTTAGTTTAAATGTTTGAACAACTGAGCCGATAAGGTTGTATTTTGGCAAAGAGATAGTTTGGAATTAAAGGAGTAGACTTCTAACTAAGAAACGAAGAGGAATCTATTATAATCTAACAGATCAAAACATCTTGCTTCGTTCTGTGTATTCTACTTAGACAAAATCCAGTTTGGTATCATCGAGATCTAGTTTATAAAAATGAAATCATAAACTAGGCTACAATGTCAAACTAATAATGTTGTCTCTTGGTATTTCTCGCCGTGCCGACGACGTCTTCATCATTGACAATGTGTAATGTCCTGTTAAAACCGGCTGTATATTATATGTGTGAAAACAAACATAAAACATGTAACCTCAGTTAATGACTTTGACATAATATGGATTAGATGGTGTTTAACAAATCATTTTTTTAATAAAAACTAAAACCGATTCAGGGACCTTGATTGTTGAGGAGTTATTCAGGAAGAGTTAGTGACAGTGTAACCTTCGGAATATCTCTGTATCGTACTTGGGGGGCGTCCATAAATTACGTGAGATGTTTAAGGGGAGGAGAGGGTCGAGTCAAATCTCATCTAATCTTACGTTGAAGAGAGGGGGGGTCTCGGCAAATATCACGCATTTTTTTTCACAGTAGTATCTATTATGTATTCTATTGTTAAATTTTTATTACACTTATAACTCTCAGTAATATTGATTACTAGTCTTAACTAGTCGTAAATAAAAGCACGAAGCATTTTTTTTCTTTTTACAATAACTATCCAACGCGTTTACGAAAGAAACCCACATTTTGAAAAATCTCACGTGAGATTGGGGGATGGGGGAGGGGGTTGAACAAAATCTCACGACATCTCACCAGGGGGGGAGGGAGGGACAGAAAGTCCAAAAAAACACCTCACGTAATTTATGGACGCCCCCTTGGCTATTTGACGTTTGATGACTGCTTAAAGCCTCGATGAAACGGGGCGAGTTTACAAGTTACAAACCAGTGAGTTCGCTAGTAGCTTGTAAACTCGTTCCGTATCATCGAGTAGCAGATGGTAAAAAAGCCGATGACACGGGGCGACTTTACAAGCTACTAGCGAACTCGCTGGCTTGTAACTTGTTAACTCGCCCCATGTCATCGAGGCTTAAGATGGCTTCATATAAATCTAATAAAACACGTCAGGACAAACTAAAGCCAACTAAGAATACTACATACTACTATACTGTGCTCCTTATAACACTGTCCCCCACGAGAACCTACTACACTATCAGCTACACTTCATTTATATGCACTACGACGAATTTATATGAATTATCAAACAAATTAAAGTACTTAATCTTACAACTCCTGGGTATTAATGATTAGTTCTGGTGGTCATCTGTGGTCTTCATCATTGGTTTCTCTTCACCAAATGGCATTTCCCGAGAATGAATGACAAGTTAGTAGTATAAACAATATCAATTTTTTAAGAGTTCCCTCGAAATCTTCAGGTTCTTAAAATCATAATATCTTGAATCTTATATCCATGGGGCCAACTGAAAAATATACACTTTCAAATTAAAAAATAATTAAAAAAAATATTCGAGTCGTTTCCAAATTTTTCTTCGAGTGTTCAATTTATGAAATATACCCTTTCTTGTGGCTGCATATCTTTATATTTCCTTATTAAATTGCGGCGCAAAGAGCAGGCAACTCACTTGGTGTATATAAGTGATCATCGACGCCCATGGTCATTTTCATCATCATTTCAATAACAAATCTTTGTCAAATATAAACAGCAACTTTTCGTTGAGTACACTGACTTCGTAGAGATATTATTTATATTTGATATATATATATATATATATATATATATATATATATATATATATATATATATATATATATATATATATATATATATATATATATATATATATATATCTTAATATATATAAATCTCGTGTCACAATGTTTGTCCTCAATGGACTCCTAAACCACTTAACCGATTATAATAAAATTCGCACACCATGTGCAGTTCGATCCAACTTGAGAGATAGGATAGTTTAAATCTCAAATTATAGTCGCAATTTTAATTTATTGCAAATTATTACTTTTGGGCGGTACGAAGTTCGCTGAGTCAGCTAGTATATATATATATATATATATATATATATATGCGTCGGCGTAAAGAGCAGCTTTATGTTAAGGGTCAAACAAACATATTCTCTCAAGATAGAACCATATAAATTCCATATTGAAAGTTAATCAAATTAGGTACGAGTATTGAGTTTAGCTGTCAACATGTCAATGCATTCATCATTACATTCCATAAAATTTTATTTAAATTCTCAATGTTATAAACAGAGAATAAAAAGTGTTTTATTATATTGTTTCATGTTGATGGTACGATTTTATACGAATAAATAAATATTACCAACACTCACACCAATAATTAGCCTAGCCCCACAGCACTGCAGACTTGTGTTATGGGATACTAGGGTAACGGATAGAATACATATGGTGGTACATATATAAGTATATTTATTTATACAGTAATACATATATCTTGCTAATTCGTTTTTTATTAATAATATTATATCACTACTGGCACACATTTCATAGTGTGACACTATGACTTTACTAGAAAAAAATCCACGTGGACCAGGCAGCAGACAGGACTCGAACCTGCACCCGCCGCTATCGGGCGGATACACTCACCATTATTCTACCGCGGCCCTAATGGCCGTGTCGAATTCTTTCTTGTATTTTTATGGGCTGCATGGCTATAGCAGTAAATTAAACATATAACACTTGAATGCTTAAAAAAATAAACATAAATATAATATTAGGATTATTTGGTTGCGCTAGGTCAATCTTTTTCCGTTACGAGGGGAAAAAAATAACAATAAAAATCGCTAAGTAAATTACATCAAAAGAATTGTCAACTTACGTGGTTATTGAAAACTTGTTGTATCATAGTAGTAGGTTTATCACAAACAGGGTTTATCCAAATATGTGATATCATGTAGGTACTCTTTTATTCAAACATTTCAAACTCAATATTGTTTAAACTTCGTACTCTTTAAAATAATCCAAGATTTTCGGGTTCACATATTTTTGGATTCTCTCATCGTATACATGATTCACATGACTCCATTCCTTTAACGGCACTACATAGTTCTCAACGAGGTTGGGTAATTTAGAACTCAGAGTCTCGACATCCTTCAAAGATGATAACCAATCCTGGTGAGCACTCACGAGAACAACTGGGGAAGAAATCAACGAAACATTATATTCCGGTGGTTTTGAACTTTGATATCTCTTCATATTTCCTTCTAAACCTTCGTTAAATCTCTTGAATTTCTTGGACACTATCAATTGTGCAAAGTGGACTAAGTTCTTTGTGGACGTTCCAGCTAACAAATGTCCCAAGGAAACAGATAATACTTTCGGTTTAAGGGTACCGGGCTCAAGACCACTTGTGAGCCTGTAAGTTGTACCGCATACTGCCTCGGGTTGGAAACTACACAATATTTCAAGTACAAAATGTGACAATTGATGTTTTCCTAGAATTTCCCTCAGTCCCATTCCATCTAAGAATTCTTTTACTTGACTCACGTGATAAGCTAATGCCCTCGGTATCGGACTCATACTATTTGTCATCCATGCTACGGGAGCTAGCTGTACTGACAACTGAATTTTGTCATTGTACTCGGGTCTAAGTGAAGTCAATACAAAGAAATCTGTGGTCCCTTGAGAATGACCCACATAAAATAACTTTTGTTTGTTAGTCACTTGCAGGACATAATCTATGGTCGCTGGTAGATCGAAGTTGCCGTGTTCATCGAAAGAGTAGTCCCAGAATTTAATATCCTTATCAGGGTCAAGTGATACGTGTCGTCGGGAGTAGACATTGCCCCTATGATTTGCAGCCCACACGTCGTAGCAGTTCTTGCTCAAAACATATCCCAGTCCAAGATCAGGTCCAGCCACTATATATACGTCGGAGCTATCGATCAAACCATGCATCATTAAAACAGGATAGGACGTAGACGGCCCATCGCATTTTGATAAGATTCTAAATATGGTCAGGATGTAGCCGTCTTCGGTAGTGACAGTGTGTTCTTCTGATTTGTATCCATATTTTGACGTTAGCTCTGTGAAATTCAAATAGACATCTTCATGTAACCCCAAGGCATTTTTAAGTTCACGGGCCTCTGGAATATAATAACTTAAAAGCGGGTTCGCCTTAGTGGGCTCCAATATGGAAGCATTGTTCACACTTATAAGAACACACAAAAATACAATGACACTACCGACCAGTTCCATCGACCAAGTTTTACGTTAATGATCGGAAAGATAATCATTTTATGTAGTCATTGTAAACAAGTATCATGTTTTATAACATTTGTCTGACCTCTGTTTAAGGTCTCGGAGCAACCCTCAGAGCCTGACCGGCTAAAGTACGCAGAACCTGTTAATTTTAAAAATATGCGAATAGACATCTTTAACGAGCTATGTCCGCGTCATTCTTATAAAGGTATTTTTATACATGACAGTTTAAAGAATAAATCTGTTTATTATTTGTTTCTTAGGTTTTCAGGCACATCACTCAATAAATAAAACAAGTTTTTAACGGGTTATATGCACTGAATTTATTTATTTAAAATCTGTTTATTATTAATTTATTCTATTGTTCAATGTTTCACTCTTTATCATATTGAGAGTAACAAAAGTAGATATTTTTTATGAATTTTTATGGAAAAACAAGACAGCCCCTGGAAAACCTTTAATAAAGTAGTTTAAAAAGCCAGAACACCTCTTAGATAGAAATAAATATCTATAGAATGATCCGTTGAAAGTAATGATTGTTTTTGTTTTCTTCTTCTAGTTTGATTTCTGGCAGCCGCGTTATTTTTTTTTATTATTAAACATTATTATTAAATATACATTTCGACAAAGAATCTTACTCCCTACATTATATTTATATTGTTATTAAAAAATATATTTTTGACTGTGCTATTTTGATATTTGTTAAACAACAAGCCAGAGTTATTCGAAATGATGTATGGTAGGTCTTTATATGATATTATCATTTTAAACTTCCAAATATGATGAGACACCTAAAAGTTATGGTGGAATAAAGAAAGAAGAAGAACCAGCGTGTAAAAATAGCGGAGTAATAAAATCATGAAGGATGTCACTGCTTAAGGAATTTTACAAGGTACAATCAATAAGCTGTTTGACAAGTTTTTAAACACGTAAGTAGTTTATTTTTTATTTTTTAAGAATTTAACTTCTAGATGTTGAAATCTAAAGAAAATTTTACTAGAAAAAATCCACTCAGACCAGGCAACAGAAGGGACTCGAACCCGCACCCTCCGCTATCCGAGCGGATGCACTGACCATTATTCTAGCGCGGCCCTAGTGGCCATATCGAATTCTTTATAGAATTTTTTAGGCTGCAAGGCAGCGCCATCTCTTCGCATAATAGGTAATTCGCAATGTCAAATTACTGACAAGTATTAAACATTTGAAAGAAGAAATAGCAATTGTAGTTATATTTTTATTTTTTAAGCTATAAACTGCTAGATGTTTAAATCTAAAGAAAATTTTACTAGAAAAATTCCACGGGGAACAGACAGCAGACGGGACTCGTTTATATGTAATTTATTAGTGTATAGTGACTTCATAAAAATTTTTTTGGATTTTTATTTGGATATTTATAATTATGCTGCGTATAAAAAACGAAAACAAAAAAAATATGTTTTTAAATATGCCGCGGAAAGTTCTCTAACAAATATGGTCTCCTACAGGCAAGTGACGTCACACTGTTCTTATTAAAACATCTAACAGTACAAAGTAATGTTATTTCGACAGCATGTTTACGAGCAGGTGACGTGACAATAGGTTAAAAAATATTTTTGTATATCATGATTTTTAATATATCAACAACTTTTTTTGACAGAATAGTGAAATAGTCACTAATGTTAAAAACAATCATGCCAATAATTGGTACTTTATTATTCAAATTGTTAAATAGCCTGTTATAGCACACAGAACATGGGTATTACGAATATCATTAAAATTATGTCACAGAGGTCGAATATTATTAATTAATTAATGATAAAACAGTATTTTGATGTGTTTCCAATTTTTCCTTTAATATAACCGGATTGTATAGGTATACAATCAAAGTTCAATGCTGGCCGGCTAATTAATCTCCAATGTCATAGTAACGAAGACATTGGTGTCGATTCTGGCATGATTCTCTAAATTTAAAGCTGAATTTAACATCAGTCACTCCTTTTCACTCTGTATAGAGAATGACAAGGATATACTGTCGTAAAATTTTGAATCATGCCAGAATCGAAACCAATATGCTATTATTAGACTCAGTTAAAGCTAGTAATTTACCTTTACATCTACAGAGTATATATATATACCAAGTCTGCCCATAAATACTGTTACATAAAAACTTTTCTTTTTTTTTCAACTTTTTTATAATTTGAATTTGGAATACGTATATTATTTAAAAAACTTCTTTCGATTTTGCGCCATTTAATGTTCGTGTTCATTATCAAATTACAATATGGAATGGGGTGTTAAAGAAAATAGGATTGCAGTGATCGCCTTGCACAAAGTGTAAGGTATGGCGCCATCGGTCATACTCCAGACACTTCAAAAGCTTGGTATTAGCTGTACGTTCTTATATCGAAATATCAACAGATACAACAACACTTCGTCTGTCGCAGACCAGAAAAGATCGGGGCGGCCGCGTGCTATTAGAACTACAAAGGTTGTTAATGCTGTTAAAGCCAGAATTCGTCGAAACCCTATTAGAAAGCAAAAAATCTTATCGCGAGAAATGAAGATTTCTGCTAGGACTCTGTCGCGTATTGTAAAACAAGACCTGACGCTCGGTGTTTATCGTCGATATACAGGAGATGCTTTAAATCAATCTTCACAATTAAAGAGAGTGGATCTATCAAAACGCATTCTGTCGCGATACGCAGGTGATAACCACAGAAATATCTTCTTTACCGATGAAAAAACTACCGATGAAAATTATTGAAGACACTACAATAAGCAAAATGATAAAATGTACGCTCACAGTTCTAAAGAAGCTGCTCAAGTGATCGGTCAAGCTGCAACGTGGTCATCATCTTGCGTCAGTGATGGTTTCGTGGGGTGTGTCTTATCAGGGAGTCACAAAACTACATTTTTGTTAAAAAAGAGTGAAAACTTTAGCCAAAGTGTATCAAGATACAGTCTTGGATCATGTTGTAAATCCTCTCAGCAATACACTTTTTACAAGAAGTGGCGACTTTTCCCTTGGAAACAGTGCGTTAATCCATAGATTCGTGGCCAAACATATTAAAGGATAAAAGCCAAGGTGGCCATTTCGAATAGAATATTTTTTTTATCTTTTGCTGAAACTTTAAGAAATATGTAGGTATGAATTTTAATAATGTAATGTTTTCATTTGTAACATAACTTATGGCTAGACTACATATATATGTCTGTTTACAAAGCTAACGCCTTCATGCGGCCAAAAACAAGGGACACAGCACGTTGGCAGTGTTCCTCGACATCGAAAAAGCCTTCGACCAGGTCTGGCACCCCAGTCTGATATAGAAAAGATCCACCCGGCGATGACTTCCTCCAAAACCGCTCCTTTTAAGTGTCAGTTGAGAGAATAGATTCTGACATCCGTCAAATAACTGCACGGGTGCCGCAGGGGAACGTACTCTCGTCCATATTGTAGAAAGACTACACAAATGCTGAATGAGGAGTTGGCGGAGTGGGAACCGAGGGTCGAGTTAGCCTTGTTCGCAGATGACAGCGCACTCTTTACTACAGCGGTAGCGGCACAAGCGGCTGCAAAGCCAATGCAGCACCAACTGGACAAACTTCCGAGCTGGATGGCCGACTGGAGAGTCGTACGGAGCCGTTAACGTGAGGAAAACAACGGCCATATGCACCTCGCACCTCGCAAGGAAGTTCCCACCCAAACTTTCTGAGGAAGAATATAATTGAGTGGACAAGAAACATAAAATACATTGCTTTCCATGTCCGCCCAAGTAGAAGTAGCAATCACCAAAGACCGGGGTGTAAGAGCTGGACTTCGGCCCATACTGGCATCCCATTTGCCCCTTAAAATAAAAGTGAGCATCTATAAAACTTACAGGATGCCAATCTTAACCTATGCTGCCTCGGCCTGGTACCCTTTCTGTTCACAGACCCTGAGGCAGCGGCTCCAGCAACAACAGAAAGTGGTGCTCCGTATCATCACCCGAGCGGAACGGTACGTTGGCAATGACATCATCAGTCGCGACCTCAGAGTGAAGGCCATTGACTCCTTCGTGGGCCGCCTTTCTCGAGGTATGTTCTCCCGCACCGACAGCGGCTCGCACCATCATCTTCAAAAAATTGCGCCCCTTCCACCCAGCGGCACCACCAACTCTGCTTCCTCTCCAGGTCTCAACCGATACGGCTCGTCGCCGACGACGGCTGCTGGGGCCGCACCCCCGCGGTAAGCAGCCCGGGAGTGAAGATTTTCTTCGAACCTGAACCCACTCCAAGTGGAAGAATCCCGGTAACGTAAAAACGTCTACTGCGCAAGTTTATTTGTCAGTCCTTTTGCACAAGAAGTGTTCCGTTACCTATACCACGCATTGAGCAGTAAAAATTGTGTCTATCTGATGAGTAAACCCTTTGCGCGGAAGAGATCGAAAAAGCGAAGGCGATAATGAAATTTAGTACAACAATATCATCCGTTTGGATATGGTTTGAAAGATATTACAGTTATTAGGACATTGGGTGTTTTAAGGTTGGCAATAAGCTAACTGTTTCAGAATCTTTTATTGGTTTTAAAACATGGGTGTAGTTATAAGGATATAAAAATACATTACAGATTTATTTACCTCAAAGGATCTTGTTATCTTCTCATTGCCGTATATAATTGAACTTGAACTTAACCCTGACTTTACTCGTTATATAGCGAACTTGTGCTGGTTTGTTATTATGACTATTATTAAGTTAACCTTCTTAAAGTTTCCTGTTTGAATAGCTCCTCCTTAAACTTCCAGACTAAAAAAACACTGGAAAATGTATATAAGAAGACGCTGCTTTATTATTGTTAATGAAAATCAACGTAATTATTTTGCGATAATTTCTAATATAAGAATATTATTTCATGAGATGGTGACAGGATTGTTGGGATGCAACTGGCGGGATGCAATTGGAAAATGTCGGTTTTAGACGACCTGTTTTAATATGGATAGCTAGTCATTAAAAAGACAGGACTCAGTATGTTGAAATAGCTAATATTGACAGAACTCAAACTGTAGTCAAATATAAATCCAAAGAAAGAGTCAATGCGTTTGGCGTTCCGTAGGGTACGATACTTGGACCGATTTTTTTCAATTTTTATATGAAAGACCTACCTGATGCCATATCAGGCAAATGCGTTCTTTTCGCTGATCACATTTCAGTTCTTGTGACATCTAGCATAAAAATAATATATATGAAATAAATATTAATAATACAATTCAAGATATTTCAGAATGGACATTATTTTATAATTGATATATTAAGATAGAAAAATCATGTTATATACAATTTGCTAATTACGGTA